CAGTTCCTTATTGTTTAATGCTCTTTTGAACTTTCAATCAATAGACCATTTGTGACAATTTTAAACACAAACAATACATTTACAAAAGATAAACAACTTATTTAACAATTTGAAGTCATTGGTGAATCTTATTCCTTGAATTACATGGCAACAATGGAAAGGATGAGAACCACTTAAAATATTCAATAATTGAGAATTGAAGAAACATACCTCTTTTTTTATCTTTTTAGCATTGCTAGTCTTTTCTTATTATCAACAAAGCTCTTCCTAATCTTGCTAACATGGTTTCAAACATTGTCATTTTGCTTTATGCTTTTGAGGCATCATTGTGTTTGCTCAAAGTAAGGTGATGCAATGAATACGCATCATGCTTACCACGAAAAGGAAACTAAAAAATACGCGAGAATGAGAAATATATTATAAATAAAATGAAAAAATAATATAAACAAATGTTACCTCACTAATTTTTTACAAACAATCATCAATACAAAAAAATGAATGGCTAACATGTGATATCTCTTCGTTATTTCTCTTCAAAATGTTATCATATTTAAATGCTATAATCCCTCATAAAAAAACAAAATTTTATAATCACTAAAAAAGAAATGATATCCAATTTTTTCGAGAGACAACTTTACTCGTTTTTCTAGATACAATCTACAAATCATAACTATTAAAATTCAAAATTGTTTTAAATCAATCAAAGAACTAAAATTTACCGAATACATGAACAGATTTATTTAAAAAAATCCCAATAACATATTAAACAATAATTTCTTGAAATTGAAAGAGAAGCTAGCAATAAAAAAAATGGATAAATTGGAAGGGTTTACACCGTTCTTATTTAACAAATCTCAAGTCATTGGTGATTCTTATTCAATTACTTAATTGGCAAGAATGGAAAGGATGAAAACCACAAATAATATATACAAATATTAAGGACGGAAAAGCATAATACTATTTTCTTCGTTGTGGCACTGTTAGTTTTTTCTTATCAATAGCAAAGCTCTTCGTAACATCATTATCATGGTTTCAAACTTTGTCGTTTTGCTTATAGTCTACAAAGTATCCTGCTGAGGCATCATTACTTTTGCTTCAAGTAAGGTGATGCATTGAAGAGGCATTGTGCTAATCATGAAGAGGAAACCAAACAAAATACTCCCTCCCTTCCACAAAACTCTTCCTCTTTCGTTTTTTTGCTTTCCACAAAACACGTCCACTTTCAATTAAAAAACCATTTTTACCCCTACTTTTTCATACCCTACCTATCACATCATACTTTTTCACTAATAACCAAACTATCACATCTTACTTTTTCCCATCACATCAGAGGCAAAATTGGAAAGTCAACCAAAATTACACTTTCCTTATTTTTCCCCAAAGTCAAAACCGGAAGGGTTTTGTGGAACGGAGGGAGTACATGAGAATGAGAAATAAATTATTGTGTATTGTTCCCTAAAGTGAATTTCCTAATTAAGGCACGATAGGTTAACGTTCTAAAAATAAGATCCAAAGAATGTACTTCTCTAGAAATAGACAAAGTAATATGATATTTCATTATATCCATAACAAACTTTTTCTTTAGACTTCCTCCAAGAACAAAAAATAAAAAGAAAAACAGCATAAATAATTTTACTTGACCAATTTTTACAAACAATCATCAATACAAAAAATGAAGGGCTAACATGTAATAATCTCTTTTTTTTCTCTTCAAAATGTTATCATATTGAAAATGCTATAATCACTAAAAAAAATTAAAATTTTACAACAAAGCTATTACAATTTTAAAAGAGTGCATGCTTATTGCTTAGTGATATATTTATAGTGTTCTATGCAAAAATAAAAGTGCATATAAATATGTGATAATGGTTTTGTTAAATTTATACGATACATATTTAAATTTAATTTTTTAAATTTAAAAAAAATCTATATCAAAATTGAATAGTTGTGTCAAAGAATCAACATAATAAAAAATTCAACCAAAATTGTGCTATCACAACCCTTTTCTTATTTGAATCTGGATTTCTGAAAATACGATCTATTAGAATTCAAAATTGTTTAAAATCAATGAACGAACTAAAATTTATAGAATACATGAACAGGTTTCTTTAAAAAAATCCTAATAACATATTGAACAATAATTTCTTGAAATTGAGAGAGAAGCTAGAAATTAAAAAAAAAATGCAGAAATTCGAAGGGTTTATACCCATTGCACAATTGTGCTTCAGTTTCTTCCAATCAGAAATCCAATTCTGTAATAAATTAAATAATATTTATACGGAGTCTAGGAAAAAATTATACATCAGTATTCTTCTCCCTTATATCCTGCAAGCAACTATCCAAATCATCGCCCACAATTCGATTGGAGAATTCTCCAAAATAAGCTTGTGATTGAGCTACCCTCAGAGTCGCACAAAATAAGGAAGGATCACAAAACAATCCCAAACTGTTCCGTTGCCGATTGTTTTCTTCTGTAGTCCATTTTTTTTCTTGGTAAGAAATTTGGAGAGTTTCCTTCTATGAGCAGGATATTTAATTAACGAAATTTGGGTGAAGAGTTTCCTTTTCCTTCCGCGGTGAAGATTTTAATTTTAAGGAAAAATTACCCAAAATAATCCCAACTTTACTCGATTTTTCAAAAATAATCCCACCTTTTACTGTGATGCATAATAATCCCAACTTTACTGAAATTTGCCAGTTTTGGGTCGCCGTTAAGTTTCTAACGGAGGGATAACGGAAATGCCCGTTTTAGGCAACAAAATGAAAGTTGGGATTATTTTTGATGAATTTTTATTTTTTAATTTTTTTTTGAAATTAAAAAAGAATTCTTATGTATTCAGTCCACCTGTGGATCAGAATACTCTACAGGGCCGCCGGAATATTCTTTTATTACTCAAGTCTCTCTCTCCCTCTCTGGTATACGTTATCTCTACTGTCTAAATTCTTTATCCTTTTATAGGAGCTTTTTCGAGCCACCATCTTGTCAATATATCTACGGTGGTTGGAAAAATATCTGGGCAACCATTCTCTTTCCTAAAAATACCTTTCTTAGGTTAAGGTTACTTACTTGGGGACAAATCTGTCCGTGTGACTGATATTCCCTGTCCATCATGTCCAAGGAATAATTCATCCGTCCCTCCTAAAGGTCGGCCACCCTAATTCCCTTGCAGTGGTCCTCTTTAGATCGGGAAAATCCACAATATGTCGTGCAAAGGTTCCTTTTGAAAACACAAAGTTGTGGAGACCCATTCTGCACTGATTCTTGCGAATGTTCCCCATTGATGGTCTATCTTTGCGGACCATAGGGGAAATTATTGCTGCCAGTGGGGCGCACACTCCAGCGCCTTTCCCATGAACCGTAGTGATGGTGGACCATTGGAGTGAAAGGCATTGGACCATTGGAGTGGCAGCGGGAGTGGACCATTTGGAAATTGCAGGTCATTAAGTGTCCTTGCCCCACCTCAATAATAAACGGACCGTTGGGAGTGGCAGATTCCTTTTAGAGTCCCTATACTACCATAATTGTACGTGGACCATTTCTCTTTCCCTCTTCCCTTTTATATATACGGTTTTTTCCTCTTCCTCCTCCTCACTTCTCCTAGCGATCCATAATTCCTTACCTTCACACTATCTTCCATTACCCAATCTCCTCTGCTACCTTTCTCGGCCAAGATGAAGAAAGCTATGCCCAAGGCCACCAAATTCTTTAACAGCGGAAAAAAATCCAAAGAGGAGGAAAATGTCTCCTCCATCACCGATGCTCAACTAATTAAGGGATATGAGGGGGATGATACCTCTCTGCTATGAGGTCCGTCCCGCAGATGGGATCACCTTGGAGACGAACCACAATCCTTCCCGTCGCCTTATCGTTCACTATGATTCGGTCAAGATGGGATGGCATTTTCCCATCCATCCACTCCATTCCCCCTGGCCAAATCTCTTCCAACTCTCATGAAACCATCTTCTGTTTTCTGGCTTGATGCCATAAGAAGGGTATCGAGCCTAGCCTGGACCTTTTCCTTTCTCTCTTCTGCCCTCACAAGTATGACCGTGATGGGGGCAGGGGCTTTGTTAGCTTTACGGCTCGCACGAACATGCAATTTATCGAAAGCCCCTCCGACAAGATAGACAATTGGTTCCGCTGCTTCTTTATGGTGATGGCCCCCGAGGGTCTTCCTTTCCCCAATGTGTGGAGGAAAAATGAAGACAAATTCCCTTCATATACCTTTCCTTGACGCTCTCCCGCCCTTGAGGAGATCTTTAGACTCCTCCTCAAGAACGGTCACCCGGTTCCCCGCAACCTCCTCTCCAAGAACAGCTATTTTCGGGGTCTTGGATTTTTGGTGCACCCCGATGTTCCCCTTCAAGCAATATCGGGGAACAACGTTTCTTCTTGGGCTCTTCCACCCAAGCCCACACGGCTTCGTCGGGGATCACGGCGATCCTCTATGAGAGATCCCTCTCCGGAGGAGGATATTGAAGGAGAAGAGATTGGGGCCGCCACTAGAGACCAATCGCTTTAACTTGCTCTCCAGGAAGTCCACCAAAATGAAGAGGTGGATGACTCTGAGGACGAAGACGGCTTCTATCACTCTTTTCCTGGGGCTCTTAGGGGCTCCAATTTTATCCCAGGCGTGCCAAAAACCCCTCTCTCTGGGAGGGGGGGGGTTTCTTCTTCTTCCCATTATGCTGGCTCGATGGATTCTCATCCGCTTGGGGGTGGGATTCATCCCATCAGCCGGGCCACTAGTTCGCAGGGGTCTCTCGAGCCGCCCCACGTTCAAGTGGACGGCCTTGGGCTCCACTGTAGCCCGGAGTCTTCTTGGCACGTCTCCCCTTCCTCTAGCTGTGGTGGAGAAGATGTCACCTCTCAGCTCCGTCCACCGACTTCTCAAACTTTTGCAGAGTCGACGCTGGAGAGCATCTTTGGACCGCCGATGGTCTAAAATGCCCCCTTCTGTAGATCAAACATCGAGCAGTCCTTTCTGGAGGCCGAAGAGCTTATTCGGTCCTTTAGCTTCCGGTGGGCCAACGTCCGTCCTCCCGTCCCTTCCCTTGCTACTCCCGGTACCACATATGAGACCGGGTCTTCATCTTCTCAGGCTCGACGTAAGCAAGCTCGGAGCTCCACTCCTCCATAAGGCTCGGGAGAATCTGCCGGCATATCCATGGGGATCGCCGGGGACGCACCTCCCACCGGACAGGACACGACACCGGCCTATTTGCCTTATCCTTACGCCCGAGAGGCTCATCTGTTCGCGGGCTACGCAGCTTGGGCCGGAAGGGACTTCCAACATCGCCTTGGCGAGATGGAGCGATTCCGCAAGGATCACCCTGATATGGTCCAAAGTCCTGCTTGGCCTTTTATGCTAGAGAAATATTCTTGCATGGTAAGGACTTCTCTTCCCCTTAATTTTTTATGTCTTTCTTAATTTCTCCTCATCCTTCTTTTACTACTCATGGTGGAATGTTTATTTTTGCAGCCCGAGTATATCACTACCTCTGCCACTCAGCGTTATTCCTTTCGTCTCCTGGACCGCAACGCCTCCTTTTCCCGGGAGTTGGGTGATTTCAGGTCTCGCTACTCTATCTGCTTCGAGCGTCTAGAGTACGATCGGGTTCTGTGTGAGAACGGCCGCCTCACAGCAAGGAACAAGAGCTTGTGGAACAATCGAGTCACGGATGTGGCAGAGATGAAAGCGGATAAGGAGCAGGCGGTTCAGTAGTGTTTTGAGTGTGAGTGGGCCATTCGAGAGGAGGTCGCTCTCCACCTCCGGCAAGCGGAAGAGGAGCTTGAGCGAAAATGGCGTGAACAAGTAAGTGAGCCAGCACGGAATGCAGCGGAGGAGACTTAGCAGAGATGGCGCCTTCGTTTTGAGGAGGTGGAGCGTCAACTCTCCCGCCAGGTGGAGGAGCTTAACTTAGCTCTTACCGAGGAGAGGGGTTTTGCGCGCAACTCACTTGAAGAGGCCCGTCTTTCACTTGATACCGAGCGCCTTACTTATGAGGGGCACATGGCTCGTATGGAGGCGGAGCTCATTTCTGATTACGGCCGGGGCTTCTACCGTGGCGGGATGTCCTACCAGAATGAATTCTATGCTGGAATAGAGACCTATTGCGATGGCTTAGATCCTTGGATGAAGTTTCCTGGTGTTCCTGAACCCATGGGACAATAGCCATCCCAATTCAGTCTTCTTATGGATTAGGTTACCTTCTGGATCAGTTTCCTTTTTTTTAAACATGTAATCCCCTTGGACTGATGAATGAAATATTAATTTGACTAGTGCCTGCCTTTTTTATATGAAATATGTTACACTCATTTCACATTAAATGAAAGGAAAAAGAAAATAAATCCCACAAACTGACGGATGCTTTTTAAGAGGAATGATTGGTCTGACTAGTTGATCTGACTCGTTACTGATAAAACCTCTTTAGGTGTTCCACATTCCAGTAGTTGTCCAATGTCTTGTTATCCATTGTAGCTAATTAGTAGGTTCCAGCATGTATAACGTTTTCTACGCGGTACGGTCCCTCCTAATTCTTGGGCCAATTTTCCTCCCTTTGTGGGTTGGCTCTTTTCTCTTTTACTCAAAACCCAGTCCCCTATCTTAAAGGCCTGAGGTAAAGTTTTCTTGTCATGACATCTCTTGGATTGTCGCTGATACTCTTCCATTTTCATTGCCGCTTCACCCCTTTTCTCTTGATGGAAATGGGCGTCCACCTTCATCAGTTGCTCATTGATGCTTGGGTCGTAGGCCTCCACTCTTGCACTAGGAACCAAGACTGTTGTTGGGACTTTTTCCTCAAAACCATAGGTTAAGGCAAAAGGAGTTTCCCCTGTGGCCCTCCTTGGTGTGGCTCTATGGGCTCATAGGACATAGGACAACTCTTCCGCCCAAGAAGTGCCTAATTCATGCAATCTTTTCTTGATGCCGTCCACAATTGTCCAATCGGCATTCTCTACCTATCCGTTCCATTGGGGATAGGCCACAGCTGCTTGGCTAAGCTTGATTCTCCAGGCAGCACAGAATTCCTTGAAACTTGTGCTAGCAAACTGAGTGCCATTATCTGTTATTATCTGCTCGGGAACGTTGATCCTGCACAACAAATTTTTCCATACAAACTTTCTGCAATTCTCCTCCGTCATCCTTACAAGGACTTCCGTTTCGATCCATTTGGTGAAATAATCTATCCTTACAATGGCATATTTCTTTTTTCCCGATCCCTGGGTGAAAGGACCCACCAAATCCAACCTCTATCTTGCAAATGGAATAGTCGTGGTGACAGGAGTATAGTAAGAGTATAGGCGTCCAGGGATAGCAGCAAAGGCTTGACAAGTAGGACACTTTTTTACGAATTCCAGTGCATCTTTCTTCAAAGTGGGCTAATAAAACCCTTGGAGTATTACTTTTCTTGCCAAAGTGAGGGCACCTTGATGGGCAAAACAGACCCCCTGATGCACTTCTTCCAGTATCCTTGCTGCTTCTCTCTCCTTTAGCCACTTGAGCATCGGTCCACCCAGGGTTCTTTTGTATAATCTTCCTCCATCCAATTGATATTTTGGGGCCATCAATTGGACCCTACGGGCTTCCTAGGGATCAACAGGGAGCTCTCCCTTCTCAAGATATATGAACAGGGGGCTCATCCATGTTGTACCAGGATCCGATATCTCAAGGACATGGACCGCCTCCTCCCAAACTGGATACATTTTTTCATGTTGCCTCACCATGCTTTCCATATGGACAGGAATGGTTCTACACAACTTTGCAAGCATATCAGCTTCCGTATTCTCCTCTCCAGGGACATAGATCAGCTCATAATATTCAAATTTGTCAAGGAAAGTCCTTGCACAGTCCTTGTATTTCTTCAACCTTCCTTCTTTTGCTTCCATCTCTCCATTTAGTTGTCCAATGACCATCTTGGAATCTGACTTGATGTGAATGTTCTTAATTTTCATGAATAGAGCCACCTTGATTCCTCCAATGAGTGCTTCATACTCCACCTCATTGTTAGTGGCCCGGAACATGAACATGAATGCATGATATGCCTTGAATCCATCTGGTGAGGTGAGGACCGTTCCTCCTCTCGATCCATCCTTAGTGCAGGATCCGTCCGAATGCATTTCCCAAATTTCTTTTTCCTTGCTCGCTTCTTTTCCCTCTAGCTTTCCTCTAGCGGTGCATTCTACCATAAAATCAGCAATCACTTGGCCCTTCTTGCTCGATCGTGGTTGATACAAAATGTCATATTGAGAGAGGACCATGGCCCACTTGATGACTCTTCCAGAAGAGGACGGATCCCTCAGCACTGCTCCTAGAGGTTGGTCCGTCATTATCTTCACTGGATGGGCTTGAAAGTATGGTGTTAACCTCTTTACAGTTACCTCCATAGCTAGGACATATTTTTCAAGGGGTGTATATCAGATTTCCATTCCTCGTAAGGCTCGACTCGTATAGTAAACTGGCTTCTGGACTCCATCTTCCTCTCTCAAAAGGACCGAACTCATTGCTAAGTGAGCCACCCCTAAATATAGGAACAGAATATCCCCTGCCACTGGTTTTGAGAGGACTGGTGGGGAGCTCAAATAGACTTTAAGGTCTTCAAAGGTCTCTTGACATTCCGCGGTCCCTTGAAAATTTCCCCCTCCCTTTAAAATTGTGAAAAAGGGTAGGAACCTTTCAGCGGACCAGGCTAAGAACCTTCCAAGGGCCGCTATCCTTCCGGACAACCTCTGGACCTCTCTTAAGTTTGTGGGTGGCTCCATATCTTGGGTGGCTCTTAGTTTGTCCGGGTTGACCTCAATTCCTTTCATGCTCACCATATACCCCAAGAACTTGCCTCTTTTGACCCCAAAAACACATTGCTTTGGAATTTAGCCTTAAATTATGCTTCCTCCTAATGCCAAAACATTTTTCCAAGTGGTCGGGATAGTCTGCTACCCTTCTACTTTTGATCAAAGAGTCGTCCACATATGCTTCCATAATTTTTCCCAGGACCTCCTTGAACAACAGAAAAATCATCCTTGTAAATGTGGCCCCTGCATTGCGTAGTCCAAAGGGCATGACTACGTAACAATATACTCCTTCAGGGATGATGAAAGTTGTGGATTCCGCATCCTCTTTGTACATGAATATTTGATGGTATCCTCGAAAGGCATCCATGAAGCTCAATAATTCGTGGCCCGCTGTCTCATCTACCAGCTGGTCCACCCTTCGCAATGGGAAAGGATCCATAGGATAGGCCTTGTTGAGGTCCATGAAGTCCACACACATGCGAAAGGTGTCTCCTTTTGGTTTCAGCACCACATTAGCGAGCCACTTAGGATAGTGGACCTCTTTGATGTGGCCGGCCTCCAAAAGGTTCTTCACCTCTTTCCTTACAAATTCCATCCGGTCCATGGAAAGATATCTCTTCTTTTGTCTGACCGAATGGGAATCCGGCTTGATGTTCAATTTGTGTCAGATGACGGAAGGATTGACCCCGGGCATGTGTTTAGATTCCCACGCAAAGAGGACCGAGTTTTCTCATAATAATCGGATAATCTCTTCGCGGGTATCTTTCTCTAGCCCTAGGCCAATCCTCAACACTTTCTTTAGATCTCCATTAGGGAACAATAGCACTTCCTTGGTTTCCACTGCTGGTCCGGGCCTCTCCCGGCTCTCCTCCTTTCTCTCTTCTTCTCCTAGACATTGTTTTATGGTTTGAATGTTGAAATTGTCCTTATACATCTTCCTACATGCGCTCAAGTAGGCCTTCTTAGCTACAGGCTAATCACCAAGGGCCCTCCCAATGTCGTCTGGGGTCCTGAACTTTAGATAAAAATGTTCAAGGGATAAGGCCCCTCGTAAGTCTTCCAATCCGGGCCTCCCCAGGATGGCGTTGTGGGCGCACTTGATGTCGACTACTACGAAGTCCGTCTTCATATGCCTCACCATGGGATGCTCACCTATTATCACGTCCAACTTAATGGACCCTTCTGGCTCAATAATGTCTCTAGTGAAGCGAGACAGGGGCATATTAAGTTTGGTAAGGTCCTCCTTCTTAACTCCCAGGTGCTGGGCCGCTTCCCAATATAGCACATTGACGCTACACTCTATATCAATCAATATTCATTTCACAAAAAAATTATGAATATCCATAGAGATTACCAGGGGAGTCCTATGCGGGCTTGGGATGTGTGGTAAATCCTCATCTGAGAATATAACGGGTTCTCTTTTCTCTTTCTTAGCATTTTGACCAACATCAATGGATCCCACATATAATCTGCGTGCCCATTCCTTCCTTTCCTTGGAGGTAACTCATGTCTTTGGATCGCCAAAAATGACTCCCACCTGGGGGAATCCTTCCGGGTTCTCTTCGGCTTGCTGTGGTTGAGCGTCCCTACGCCAAACATTACTCTCTTGATTTTGCTCTTGGTTCGCTACTGGCCCCCTTTCCTTCATTCGGTCCTCCATTTTTTTAGGAACACACACTCCTCTGTAGCGTGTCCTGTCTTCCTATGGAAATTGCAGTACTTAGCTAGGTTATAGGGCCACTATTTTCTTTCTTAGTCCCCACGTTTTCTCTTCTATCCACCCTCCTCCTTACCCTTAATCTCTGCCACTTGGGCGGCCTCTCCTGGGACCAATGGCTTAAGCATAGGGATGGAGATGGTGGATGCTTCTGCCTTCTCATTCTTTTTTTCCGAGCCTTTCGTTCCATCTCTGCACCAATTATGTGTTAGTTTCCCCCTCCCTTTGCTTTAGGGAGAAGAGATGGGTGAAGCGCTTCTTTGGCTGAAACCTTCCTCCATACGCATTGAGGAAGAACTGAGCTAAGTCTTTGAAGCAATCGATGGTGCCATTTGGAAGGGTAAGAAACCACTTTATTGTTGGTCCTTCCAAAGTCCCCACAAAGAGACGACATTGGATCTCATCCTTCATGGAGTGCATTAACATATGTGTTTGGTATGCAGCCAAATGATCATTTGGATCCGTAATTCCTGTGTAATGGATCTTGGGAGCCTTCACGCCCCTAGGCAGCTTAGCTTTCATCACTCTAGCAGTAAATGGAGAAATTACCTCCACAGTGGGCCCAAATGACCCATCTTTGTCTACTTGTTTCTTTAGCTCCTCCATATCCTTCCTCAGCTTGAGGATATTTCTTGCATCTTCGCTGGGGCACCCGGAGCTTTCCCCAAACTCCTCACTCTACGGTCCCAATCTTTGGGATGCATTCCTGTGCATTTTTTGTGTACAGATATGCGTCCCTGACTTTCCACTTTCTCACCCTTTCCTTGACTGATTAACTTGTAGACAAGGGGTGAGTTAGCATCAAACCTCTCTGATGCTACCTGGGAACCTTTTGGGACCGGATGGGAGCTCTTTGATGCCTTAGAGTATAAACTTTGTTCACAAGACTTTTCTGGCGTCTCATGCATGAATTGGGACAGGGTTATCTGGTGCCTGAGATCTTGCGGCGAAAGTTCCCCCTTCCCTTCCAAGCTGGCTCGCGCCTTAGCAGCGATCCTGTTCTTCTTGGACCGAATCTTGCCCATAATGACAAAATGAAACTTTTCCTGAATGGAAAGATGGACCGATTTATGTAAGCGATCCTCCTGGATGGACCGCGAGTGTATCCTTTTGACTCTAGTGGACCGCTAGTTGCCGTAAAGACAAGGAGAGGTTCGCCAGATGAATAGGATGTGAGATAGGCTCGCTATCAACTTTCCAGAAGGCTAAAGGCTTCAATTCATCCCACGGTCGGTGCCAGTGGTGGATGCCTAATATTTTCTCCTAGGACTGTTGATCGGTCCAGGTCCAAATATTAGTATCTGGGTCTTATAACAGTAAGAGAGTGAAAAGGAAAGAGCAATGGATCGTAAGTAAACGTACAACACACAATGAATTAACTCAAACCGGGGGCCCTTTCTGTATACGGTCCACCTGTGGATCAGAATACTCTACAGGGCCGCCGGAATATTATCTTATTACTCAAGTCTCTCTCTCTCTTTTTCTCTCTCCGTTATAAGTTATCTCTACTGTCTAAATTCTTTCTCCTTTTATAGGAGCTTTCCCAGCCATCATCTTGTCAATATATCTGCGGTGGTTGGGAAAAATATAAGGGCAATCCTTCTCTTTCCCAGAAACACCTTTCTTAGCTTAAGGTTACTCACTTGGGGACAAATTTGTCCATCCGACCGATATTCCCTGTCCATCCTGTCCAAGGAATAATTCATTCATCCCTCCTAAAGGTCGGCACACCAGCCTAATTCCCTTGCAGGGGTCCTCTTTCCTTTGGGCGACCCAGTCTTACTGGACTGAGGTCCAGCCCATCTTCCCAGGCCTGTCCTTCTCTCTTCCCCTGGTTCTTGTCTTCATGTGGACATATCCTCTTACCGGCCCATTGAATATATTACATCTCGGCCGGCTCGTCTTTAAAGTGCGGGTCTTATCTTGGGCTTTGCACCCACCTTGGGCCCAAACCACCTTGGTTCCGTCCTGATGGGCTAGGTTCCCATCATATATATATATATATATATATATATATATATATATATATATATATATATATATATATATATATATATATATATAGGGGAGGGATCAAGTGAGAATGAGTTGCTATGAAAGAAATGAGAATGATCTAGATCCATTAGATTTACTCCATCGTGCGGTCTCCAATATGCAACATAAATTATTTTATAAAAGGAAAGGGAAATTGTTATTGGGTATGTTAAATGAGGCAGACACGTGGAAGGGCATTTCTGGAAATGGAGAAGTACATTAATAAGCGTAAAAAAGGTGAAGATCTTGAATATCCCGCCACTTACGCATTTTGCCTTGAATAGAAGTCTTTTTGCTTTCTTCCATAACCCTTTTCTTCCGCCGGCGCTGCATTCTTCAGAGCATCGTTCAGAGTGAAATTGGTAAGTGAGAGAAAGTTGCAGTGCACGCCTTAAGAAGAAGGAGACCTCGTGAAGGAGGAAGCTCTTAGAAATTGCATTCTCAGGCATGACTACTGCGGGGAAATCAGCGGTGGTGGTGGAAGGTATGCGTTTTTAATTTCGAAAGGGTCTATTTGATTTGCTTTTTTGTTTGTATTGCATGTCGTTGATTAATGCATCTGTAGTTTTAATTTCGAAAGGGTCTTCGACATTGTTCTCTGTGAGTTCTGGGTGCATCTTTAATTACTTTTTCCGATTTGCATGATGGATTGGTTTTTGACATATTAAGAGCAGTGGTAATGTGCTTCATTTTATAAAAAAAGTGTAATAGTCTTGACTTTTATGAAACAGATTTTGGAATTTGGGTGTAGGGATTTAGTCTGTGAAAAAAATGTTTTTGGGTATGAGTATATTTGTGTTCTAGCATTAAACTATTTTGTGTGCATGTGTGAAGAATTGATTTTTAAATGTAATGAATATACAAGGAATATGTGTTGTTGGGTCCTCTTCATTGCAAATTAGGTCATAGTTGTTTGAATTTGATTATTTAATGGGGGTGGAAATTGTAGTTGTATTGCATAGAAAAATGATTTCAGAATGGTTGTTAGTTGAAGTAGGTTTGTTGGTTGGTGCATGATGTGTTTTTTATTGTATGGTATCACATTGCAGTTGTAATTCTGTAGTGTGTTGTTATGAATTGGTGCCTCTGTGTGT